AATTTTAATTTTTTTTTTTTTTATAAGTTATTGAACAGAAGGATAAAAAATGAAGAGGCGTTCTGCATGCACCTGCTCATCGTTCACAGTTTAATGGATTCACAGTAGAAGCCACTAAAATCACAATAAAAAATAAATAAAGAGAAGGTCCAGAACGTGCTGTGTTTCAGCAAGAGGAGAGCAGCCTCATTTACACCTCAGAGAGAGAAGTGAATTTATATGCGGTCTCTAGGGAGGAAATCAGCGTAATGACTTGTCAATTAGTTCTTATGATATCTAAGAAGCATTCAGAACAGAGTTGACAGATTTTATTGACAATAAAGTGAGGTCTAGAAACAGTAGCTCAAAGTTACCCCTGGGACATAACTATGAAGAAAAGCCAGGGAGTTTATTATGGAAAACGGATGTCAGATAAATTGCAGATGCTTTTTATGCTGCTAGCATTGATTGACATGATTATATGAATGAAATGTACCACTTCAGTTAGAAACTATTAAAAAGACTCTTAAACTACTACTGAATTTTTAAAGGGTATTAATGATATATGATGGCTCTAGTCTAATGCATTATATCCTGTTTAGATAATGCACTATTACAAGATTACACTTTCAATTGCGAGTGAGTGTATGGTTGTCGTTAAGACTTTGCACATGCAGATTTGCACATGCAGATAAAGCCCCCTATTATAGTTCTTTAGAGAATCAACTTTTGATAGATGGGGAGAATAAAAGAAGTGTATAGAATATTGAGAATATTGAGAAGAAGAAGAATGAATATTGAGTTGAACATATTATTAAATGAGAGAATTCTCAGTGAGTGGACAGGGCGCCTGTTTGTTCTGTTGTAAGTAAGCTTGGTTGTACAAGAGATTCAATATGCTAAATGCGGAAGAAATTATCTTGGCAGGAAAAAACTTTCAGCATTTGCTCTAAAAACAGATTACGACCAGAAATGTTATAACATATTAATTAATATTATTTCCAGGCACTCATCATCAATTAATTTTGTTTTCTCTCTCAGAACATACATGCCCTATATATCCTGATCAATACTCTCTCCTTTCTTTTCTTTTTTAATTGGCTGACTCGACAGTTAAAAAAAATAACATATAATGAATATAGGAACCAGCTATATTTTATTTTGCAACAATTGTGTTCGCTTGATTTGCCAATAGAGGATATGTACTGACGTCATTTTCCCGCCGGCACACACCCCCTCAGCCAAATGGCAAAAGAGCTGTTGCGTGACTGGATTTAATAAGGGAAACTGTGAAAACGTGACTAAAACAAACGATTATCAATTTAAACTAAAGATTGGAATCGATATAGTGTTCCTTACAACTTACCAAAGATCCATTGATCCATGGATATTGACATGCAGCCAGGAATCGTGTTTCCTGACATTTATATGTGCCTGATTTCAATGAAATACATAAAGCAAATTTGTCTGTACATAAATAAATAAATAAATAAATAAATAAATATATATATATCATGATGCCAAAATTTATCGCAATACAAAAATGTGACAATATGTATCGTGGATAGATCCCCCAAAATAAAAATTACTGTGTGAGGAAATAATTCAAGTTTTCAGATTTTTAGTGTCAATACTACATTAAACTACTATATATAATGTTGATTTTAATGTATAATAATGCAATGGGGGAATATTTGTGGGTCCTGATAATGCCAAATGTCTTATGTTACATAACATTTATTTGAAATATATCTAGTCAATGACAGAGTGCAAGAATATTCGAATATTAAAATTATTCAGTATTTTCAGCTTCAGAATCATGAATATTGTTATTCTGGTGTCACCATTGTCCTTGGGTTACAAGTCCAAGCCTATTCATTTAAACCCACAATGTTATATCAAATTTAGCATTTAGTAATTTTTTTGTTAACCCTTTATGTCTTGGAGTATCGCAATAATATCGTATCGTAATGTTCAGTATCGTAATATGTATCAAATTGTGACATGAGGGTATTGTTACACTTCTAATATATTATCATATTGTCCAGCCCCTTTGTCAGTGTTTATTTAAAAACATCCAATTATGCAGAATATACGATGATAAATATTGAATTGATTGTAATGTTGGGACTCGTAATGAAAGAAATAAACAAGAAGAGAAGACAAGTAGTTTACAACAGTCATCGCTTTACTTTACTACTTCTTTTCTTTACTAATGATGGTCAGTTCGTGAACGAATCGTTCTTTTTTGTGAACCGGTCGAACCAGTACACTAAAATCGTTCAAAACAGTTCGCGTCTTAAGTTACGTCAGCGCTGATCCACAAATTAATAAAGTTACTCACTTTCAGACATGCCTGACAGTACCTCCAAATCGAAATAAACCAATATCGCGGAGTATATTTTACTCCAGTAACTCCATTAATTCACTGAACTGAAACATGTTGGTGCTGAGAGAGAAGTGATGAGCATGAGCAGCTGATATTGCGCATGCGTGTACTACCGAACGCACAGGTACAACAGTTCTCGGATCACCAGTACAGAACCGGCAACTGTTTCTTTCGGACACGTTTGACATACTGAGAATCGAGGAGTTGAGCATGCGTGCAATTTTTTTCTGAGGGATGAAAGTACGTTTCTTAAGTATTTAGCTGAACATCAGTTGGCTAAGTGTAACAAAATAAAACATATTGGAAACATGTTACATAATTAATTACTTTATTTTTACTGTATTATTTTAAAGTTTGGAAACACAAAGTATAGATTGTAAAACTGTCAAACTAAACATTTAATATTATTATACTAAAATAATATTTTCTGGAACAGCTCATTTAATTTCTTATAAATTTCATATAAATCTTTGATACCAAGGTTTTAGTGGTGCACTGCTAAGTAAATGTTTATAACGCGTTAAAACATCACATATTATTAAACACTGTTTTTCACATATTTTCACATCACATATTATTAAACACTGTTATTATTAAGCACACACAGGCCTATGCTACAGTTCTCGAGTCAAGAACCGGTTGTTGCAGTTCTTGAATCACCAGTACAGAACCAAAAACTGTTTCTTTCGGACACGTTTGACACGGAGAACCGATGAGCTGGAGATACTGCGCATGCGTGATAGCATCGTCTCTAAAACAGAACTTTCTGTCGGCCAACTGATGATGTGCTCATACATGAGCCGGCAGCACGAGTGAACCGAGGACTTAAATGAGGGGCCGAATTCGGCGAAATGTAAGTTTATTTAATAACAAATAAAATGATGAAGACCATTTATGCACTTTATATCTTTAAGACATTTAAAACATCCACGTTTGCACATCATCTGTAGGCTACAGGGTTCGTTTGCAAAACGTAAAAGTAAGAAATTTATACAAGATTATTATGACGATGAGTACTATTATTTAACTGAAGTTATGATTACAAATGCCTTTAATTTAAAGTATTTTCTATCTGCCGGGATTATAGAATTGACGTCATTACGTGAGGAGGACGTAAAAGAACTGGTGAAGTTGACCGGTTTTTTTTTTTGAACCGGTTCATTGAAACGAACATTCCGAAAGAACCGGTTCGCGGAAAACCAAACTTCCCATCACTACTCTTTACTTTTCCATCAACAGCCAATTCTCACTCACAGCTTCTAGCGGACTGGTTTAGTATTGCAGTCCATGAACATTACCACAGAACATAACAATTATTATATAACAATTAGGGCTGGGCGATAAAACGATAACGATAATTATCGCGATATAATTTTCCTCGATAAAACGATATCAAGAGGTCGATAAATGTTCGATAATGTTTATGCGTCAAAAGCGGAACGAAACTCATTTAAACCGCGCGTGCCACACGGAGCATTTATCCGCTCGGGTCAAAGTCCAAATGGCAGCGCACTGAGTGCAGCGCAAGCTCACGCAGACGCGCCTCTGATCGTTTTGCTCACGAGATCCAGTGAGAAGCACTTGAGTTCAGCGAAAAACACAAATGTCAAGTTTAAACCAGTTTAAAGGCAGATGAAACACCGCTGACAAAAAGGAGAAACACTGCGTGCAACGATCCAGTCAGAATCTGAATTGATACTGAATCTATTTAGCTTCCCATGGATTTACTGTAAGGTTAGCCAAGTAATATTAACTGCACCATGAAATGTGGGATATGTACATATTGTATAATATTATTAATGTAGACAATGTATTATGACTAATGGAATATAAGTACAGTATTTAATAATGTATTTAACTGTTAGGCTATTGTTTTTCATACAAAAAATACAGAAACCATAAAGTTATGCCATTATAGTGAGGAGCTAATTTATAGGCTATAACTGGTTTTATCTGTGGTTATCATGATCCACTTTTGTTTTGTTTTGTAAACACGACTGGATTTGCAGACCGTTTAAGAGTAAAGAACGGTGCTGTGCCATCTATATTGGATCTGACAGGAATGGTGCAACACACGGACTCTGGGTCGAACATGTATGGAAGAATCATTCCAGTTGCCATTTTACAACATTGGACGTTTCCAGAACGATTTCCCCCAGTGCACCGACGAGTGAGTTGAAACTCATTATAATATGCAAAACTGTTATCCACTCACAGCAGTGGGCGTTTACTTCCAAGTCTTCAGTGCGAGACGCCCATAAAAACCAAGCGTTTTTGAGCTAGCCTCAAAACTAGGGTACAAAATAGCCTATTACTTATTCATTTTGATGTGTTTGAATGCAAAAACCAAGCGAACGTCATAAGTTGACCTCAGACAACAATATAATAAAATTTAAAAAGCCAGTTCATGACCCCTTAAAATAAAAAGCATAATCAAACTAAAATATAGTACATTAATTTAATTGGAAAAAAAAAAACTATCATTTTTGACTGACACGCAAAGAGCACCAGAGTTAACCAGAGGTTATTTTAACCAAAACATTAATGTACAGAGTAACATTTAGTAAACTCAACCCACAGACTTTCTCAAGTTCATTGAAATACAATAAAAATGTAAAGCTCACACACTCACCGTCCTTGCGGTGATAGGTGATCTCCACTTTGCGTTCCTCCGAGCCCATGAGAGCCTGTGCTACCTGCGCAATAGCATGCCGGTTGGTCAGCTGTCCATGCAGGAAGTCGCAGGTGCACGGCTTCTGCATGACGTCTGGCCTGGAAAACCCGGTCATCTCACAGAAGGCATCATTGCAGTAGATGATGGCACAGTTCTGGACGCGTGCATTTGCTATGACAAATCTCTTGTCTGTAGAAATGGGCAGAAAAGAGTTATTGGGATAAAGTAACCACGTAAAGGGAGCTGAGGTGAAAGGATATAGTAAACCATTCTTAAAGCTTTTATAAAAGTGTTACTTATACTGCCTTAGGAGCACTTGTGCTTTTGGCAGTGTGTACTTAGAAAATGTAGGACTCTAAATTTGAGTAATTAGGCCGAAATTTATACCGTTACACCATGATTGTTGACAAACTGCTATTCTGCTATTCAAACTAATGAAGATATTACCACAAACATCTTTTTTTTAGCATTTGTACACAACTAATATAACCCTATCATCCGTGCAGGATGGAAATAAACCTCACTGCATCAAGAAAAAATGAAAGCATGAAACAATTAAAAAAAATATACAGGGTTCACTATGTTAATCTCATTCAACAGAATTTGTGGCATAATGTTGGTTACATTTTGTTTGTCCTTTTGTTAAAAAATAAAAAATAAAATCGGAATTACAGCGAGCCCCTTACAGTACATTAGAAGTGAATTGGTCTAATTGTTTCAAAAGTATAGACACAATATGAATTGTTGGCTTGATTTTAGTGTGAAAACACATTTTTTAAATATTTTTCCCCTGTAAAATTGTCTAATTCTCCAAATGTATCCATGACAATGCAATCATAAAACCCTTAAATTAGTATAAAGATTATTTAAACAGATTTACAGATCAAATAGTATGAATAACAAGATTAAATAAGTGGCTAACATTTCTTTTCAATTCTCAATTATTATTATTTTATGGTAAATTTGGAAATCAGCACTGAATGAGATTACCTGAACCCAGAATATTCCTGATTAAGGAACATTTTGCACATATGGTGGTCACCAACTGTATAGACACAAAACGGTCTCAATCTAACACCTTACGCCTATTTTGAGTCAAAAGAAAACCTTTATGCTTGCTTGTGTCCTCCATGTTGTCTAACAGAAACTGTCCTATTATAACAGTTTTGTTGAGAGAAAACTGCAGAGACAGTAACACATGGAAGAGTAAGATTTTTGGCAGTGGACAACTCAAATAAGTGCCTGTGGCAGTGCGAGTAAACATTAAGACTCAAATCACACATTTTTCAAATGCTGACATGATGTTAGCCGAACACTGAACACCATTAATTGATTGTTTCCTCCCTATAATGTCTAATGGAGAAAGAGTCCAAACAAACACTATCTACAATCTATTGCGCGGTTAACCACTTAACTAATCAATGTTTACATCGATGAGAAACGGTAATAGTACAGCACTAATAAATCAAAGTATCAATTTCTAAGTTTGGATATCGGAAAAAGGAAACAAGTTGTACTGTCAGTGCGTGGAGGTAAATTCACACTATCTAGAGGTCACACAAACAAAACAGCGACTGAATCGCCCCACATGCAGCTTTTATTGTTGCAATGAAGTAAACAAACATTACTGCAACATCTGGAAGGTGGCACTCACTTTGACCCTCGAATTTGCGGATAATAATCCCGAGAAATGTGTTCTGTGGCGCGACGTGACCTCGTCGCACAGGCATGATTGAGGGCAGGCTGTGCGCGAGACCCGCTCGATCGCGCGCCCCTTTGAATCCTTCGAATGAGCTTCACGAGCGCAGCGCGAGGAAACGCGTCTCTTTGGGGATCATTCCGGCGACGTCTTCTCCTCCTTTCCACCGCTAGATTGTCGTTTTCCGTGATTCATTCCCGTTTTGGTCTTCGCCGTTAGTCGTTGTTGAAAACGAAAGACGAGAAAACGAGGCGCTCTGCTTTGAGCAGCATCTCAATCGAACTGAAACCCACAAATGTGACGAACGGCCACAAACTGACAGCAGTGACGTCTCTCCGCGAGGGGCTCTCGCGCGACACTATGCAAGGAGATGCGCGAGGAAACGGTATCTGCGTTGCGCGAGAGAAGCCCTGGAGGAGGGCACAGTTCACACGGATCGCTATCTGCAAACGTCAAACAACACAACACGTAGGATTTCCATGACAGTGAACTTAAGAGCAGACGCGACTAAATTAGATGGGTCAATTACAGTGTGATTTAGATCTATCAATTAAAAAACGTTTATAAAATGCGATGGTAAATTTATTGCTTATGAAACGATAGTAGTAGGCTAATAGTTAAATGGTTTCGGCCCTTCAAAGTGCTTATTCGCATGTGTGGTAAATCTGGGACTGTCCTTGGTGCTGGAAATACTCCCGTTTATATGATATCAATGTCGACACCGTTCTTCAAAAAGTTTTAAATAAACTTACAGAAAGAGAGGATGGTTTCACATTAGGCTAATTTAGGCAACATTAATGTGTTGTATGAAATAACATACAGCATTCATACTACTCTTTTATTGAAAGTAAATTAGGTCAATATTTCATAGCAAATTATTAACTTTCAATAAAAGACTAGATTAGCAACAAAAAAAGCAAACAAAAAAAAGTCGGGTGAAGTAGGAAATAAGAGATGTTATTATAGAAAGAAAAGAAATTTAAAGGGGGAAAAAACGTTTCTTTGTTTAAAAGAGAATTTTGGACAACTGATATCTACACAGTATCGCCTTAAAGGGTTAGTTCACCCAAAAATGAAAATTCTGTCAGTATTTACTCACCCTCATGTTGTTCCAAACCTCTATGTTTATTTGTTCTGCTGAACACAAAAGGAAGATATTTGGAAGAAAGTTAATCAAACAGATCTCAATCCCCATTGACTACCAATAGTAGGAAAAAATACATACTAGTCAATGGGGATTGAGATCTGTTTGATTAAAACATTCTTCCAAATATCTTCCTTTGTGTTCAGCAGAACAAATAAACACATAGAGGTTGGAACAACATGAGGGTGAGTAAATACTGACTTTTTGGGTGAACTAACCCTTTAAGCTACTTTATTAGCATTCTAGAACAATAAGGTTTGTGTCGATCCACCAAAATACACTCTCTTCTGAGAATTATCTAAAGATAGAATTATGTTAATTAAAGCAATGTAATGCCTCATCCATATTGAGGTTTATTCAACTGTAAGACAAATAAATCACATCAGCACTTTCACTCACTTGCACGCTGACTGGTTTACTGCAATTAAATGTTTGTTTAGATATCATTAATGTGTCTCAGTGACCTCTGATGTCATGGAAATGTGAGGAAAACCCTGCCGAGGGAGAGATAAAAGGAGAACAAATCAGTGCTGGCATCTAGTGGTGACAACATGCATTAGAATGCATTATGGAGCTGACCTGCTGGCAACAAAAGTAGTAGGCTACAAAAAAGTAAATACCGGTAACGCAGTAAACAAAATATGATAGATATACACCATTATTCGAAAGTTTGGTGTGGTTTTTTTTGTTTGTTTTTTGTTTTAATGGCGAGCAAGCACGTATGCGGCTCACCAAGGCAGCATTTATTCAATCCAAATACAGAAATACTGTGAAATATCATTACAATTTAAATGAATAATTTTTCTATTGAAATATATTTTGCATTTTCTATTGCAATATAAATGTAATTTATTCCTGTGACGCAAAGCTGAATTTTTAGCAGCCATTATACTGAAGTATCAGTGTCACATGATACTTCAGAAATCATTGTGATTTTGTGAAAAAAGAGCAACACAAAACAAACAGTGCACATAGGCCTCCTTTTGTTCACCAGTTCTGGTGTTAAAAGCATCTTTGTGAATGACGTGCATGTTCATGTTAAACTGTCCAACTGTCAAGTTTATGTCAATATGTGAGAGAAAGTGTCAGGTATGCTTTGGGACTGAATGTAAATCAGTAGAGATTTATCTGAAGCACTTACAGAAAACTAGCCTTCTCCTTCATTAATTATCAGTGCAACTCATCAATATTCAACTGTATGCAATATTCACAAGAATGAAAGACAGAAAGTGACACAGACCTCTGTGGTAATGTCTGCTCCACTGTAATGGAGATGTTTACCGGCACATAAGGAGACACGTGTGTATGTGTGTCAATGTGCATCTGTGTGTTTGTCAGTGTTTGAGCCACTGTGGGAAACTAGTTTCTCAGGACGTCAAATGCATAATACAAACACATAATGCTCCAATCAAATTCGATTTCTGTCAATTGTTAAAATAACTTTATGGAAAGGGAAAAGGAGGAGAGAGTTTGTAAGTGAATGTGTGTGTAATAGTGATTTTGTTATTTATTGGTTGTGCTAGTGTGGAAATTGGTTTAGTTGAATGTGTAATTCTGAAATTAATAAAGCTGGTTTTCAAATTTAAAATTGAAATGACACTTCTAAACAATTCAATACAACTTTACATCAATCTCTAAAATTCTTGTTAGATTTTTGATTAAAAAAAAAATCAAATGGTGTGGTTGCCAGACTTTTACCATAAAAATATGAATAATATTATTAATGTGCCATATACACGTAGGTTTTCTAAATGTAAAATAAATTAAAATAGCTTGTTAAAACACCTTTTTATTTTTTGGTTAAAGTTTTGGTAAAAATTCTTAGACCACTGCTTTGGCTTTATGGGCCCAAAATTCACATCTCTGATGAAAACTTTGAGTGTTTAAGTTTTTCTTTTTCTTTTACAAAGTACTACGGCTCCCTCGACGGAAATGTATGTTTCAAAAAGTATTGTCTCTCAAGGCAACGGCATTATTAGTGCTAAAAAATAACAGTGTTAAAGATGTAAATTTTTAATCATCGTGGCATGGTCGCACGTTAATTTACTTAGTGTTGGGTTTGCCAGGCTTCACCCTACTGGGTTTCGTTTCTTACTTTCAAATATTTACAGAGAGGATATTTAAAGAGATCTAAAGAAACCTTACACAGCCTCTAAGATTTCGTCTGCCCGACCATTATTAATTAAACACAGGCTCAGAACCTCACTTTGCAAATTAAGCACATTTTTGATAGCACATCAGTACCTCTGAAACATGGCCTGACATCTAACCTCTGAACTCGTGACGATGGAAATCAACTGTTTGACAGTCAGTGAGTGCAGCTTGAGCTTTACATTTGTGTAATTTGGAGCATGCATTACACATTACATGTATGCGTATGTCTACATTTGTGTATTGACAACGACATTAATCTTTTATTCTCATATACTTTTGCTAATCACTACACACCAACTGTCAGGGTTCTGTCACTTCGGTCTAGTTTATATCTTGGTTTGGTGACAGAGCTCTGACTCTCCTGGTTTGTCGTGTGTTTTTGTTACAGTCCTGTCTGTTGTGACCACATGGCTTGTCATGCGTTTCCCTCAAGTCCTGTGCTGGTTCGTCATACCTCATGTTTCTGGTTTTCCAGCCATAGTCAAGGTTTGAGATGCCTGTCTTGTTTTCCCCCTCAGGGTAGATTTGTTTGTATTTTAAAATTTATTTTACCACTTAAAGTTCCTGCACTTGAATCCTCGCTTCACCTTTATTCCATCCATGACACTAACTATAGGTCAACAGGAAGAAATGTGTCTATTTAGTAGAGTTGGAAATTTTTCAATTTTAAACCTGCATATTTTAAAGGGTTAGATCACCCAAAAATGAAAATTCTGTCAGTATTTACTCACCCTCAAGTTGTTCAAAACCTCTATGTGTTTATTTGTTCTGCTGAACACAAAGGAAGATATTTGGAAGAATGTATTAATCAAACAGATCTCATTCCCCATTGACCATAGTAGGAAAAAATACATACTATGGTAGTCAATGGGGAATGAGATCTGTTTGAGATCTGAGTAAATACTGACAGAATTTTCATTTTTGGGTGAACTAACCCTTTAATGATGTCAGAACATGATTATCGTAACTAATAATACAAAGTGAAATAAAATTTTAATATTAGAAGTAAATAAATTAATACATTTGAAATATTGCCCTTGCAGCTATCTGAAATAAGTCGAAGCACTGAAATTACTAACTGGAAACACATAAAACAAAAATTAGTTAAAAATGACAAAAGGGTAACATAAAATGACCGAAAATGTAAAAATAAAAGCTAATTCATAATATGAATAAACCAATAATACTAAAATAACAATGGTGTCAGAATGAGTCATTGAGATTTATTCTGAACAATGGCAAGCAGGTTTTCATTTAGTTCACTTAAAAAAAAAAAAAAAAAACGTTTGCTGATAATTTACTCACCCCCATGTCATCCAAGATGTCCATGTCTTTCTTTCTTCAGTCGAAAAGAAATTAAGGTTTTTGATGAAAACATTCCAGGATTTTTCTCCATATAATGGACTTTACTGGTAACCAAACGGTTCAAGGTCCAAAAGACAGTTTCAGTGCAAACTGTTCAAAGGGCTTTAAACGATTCCAGACGATGAATAAGGGTCTTATCAAGCAAAACGATCACTCATTTAAAAAGATAAATAAAGTTTGTTTTATAAGCTCAAATGGTCGCCTTGCTTTGTTTTGTGATGCGCATTCGAACTCGTTCATCAAAATGAACAAATCTTTTTCTGAGTCAATTCGTTCAATGAATGAATCAAATGCCTCGAAAAAAAGTTTTGTTCATTTTGTTGAACGAGTTCGAACAGGAGAGTGACAAACGCACATCACAGAACAGAGCAAGATGACCATTTGAGCTTATAAAACTTTTTTTTTTAAATGAGTGATCGTTTCACTTGATAGGACCCTTATCCATCGTCTGGAATCGTTTAAAGCCCTTTGCACTGAAACCGTCTTTTAGACCTTGAACCATTTGGTTACCAGTAAAGTCCATTATATGGAGAAAAATCCTGGAATGTTTTCATCAAAAACCTTAATTTCTTTTCGACTGAAAAAAGAAAGACGTGGACATCTTGGATGACATGGGGGTGAGTAAATTATCAGCAAACGTTTTTTTTTTTTTTTTTTAAGTGAACTAAATGAAAACCTGCTTGCCATTGTTCAGAATAAATCTCAA